GTGGCTCGCGAAAGATAATTAGCACAACCCTGTGACCGGTGTTCAAAGCTCGATTCCTCTGCAGCAACAAACAGCGGCGACGGTGTCGCAAAATCGCAGCGTCCGCAAAACGCACACACCCAACCCTGGCACCCTCATTCTCCGCAGAGTAGTCGGGCTCTGAAACTAGGTCCAGGGGGTGTGATATCTTCCGAATGCATTCCCTATGCAACCTGCCTACGGGCCGTGTTACCTCACGTATGCAACCCGCGTATGGGGTGGGGTGTGTCACTCTACCTATGCAACCCGCCCACAGGGGGTGTTGTATTCCGCATGCAACCTGCCTACACACACGACTCGCCTCGTGCACGAACTCCGGTCCGAGGTAGCTCCCGCCGATCCCAACGGCGACGATATTGACCAGGTTTTTTCCCGTGGCCCCGCGGAGCTCGCCGCTCCTCACGCGCTCCGAGAAGTCCTTCACCTTGTCCAGCGTGTCATGGACCTGCCGAGAACAAGCAGATACAAAAAAAAACAAATGATCACTTGAGCCAAAAAACTGTGCGCGCGTTTGTACGATAGGAAAACCGTCCTCACGTGCTGGGATACACACAAAAAAACGCTGTATGTGAATGCAACACATCCGAGTATTGTAAGACTGTTGTGGGCTTCTCGCGACACACCACCTGCTTTATCTCCAAGAGAGCAAAAAAAAAAAAAAACTCTGACGTCAAGGCAGAGGATCGAACTCCCCTCCCCACCTGTTGAATGACGTCGACGTCGTCTACGTAGATGGGAGGGTCGTCCCTGTGGGAGCGGAGGGCGACGTGCAGGACCGCCCTGTTCTCCGTGTTGTTGATCTTTTCGCCTTCGAACATGGCAGTGATCTGACCAAAGCGGCAGGCAGAGAGAGAGAGAGAGAGAGAGAGAGAGAAGAGAGAGACACAGAGAGAGAGAGAAAACAGAATAAGAGACAACAGAGGGGACAAGTAAGGATCGCTTACGTGTTGCGTTGCCAACATGACAACTGATCTAAACAAGCGAACAAGGCGCAGACGAACAAAAAACGAAAATACCAATACCTGGTACCAGGTATGATAATTTGGAAACGATACCACCGGGTGGGGGGAACGAAAAGTGCGCCCGCCCGAACGATTGCAGTATGGTACGAAAGAACACGACAATTACAGAGCAGAGTAGTAGTGCCGCAATCTACGGCTTTGTTGCCAACAGAAGGACACAACAACAGCATACAGCGTCCAGCTCAGGTGTACAAGCAGATACACAGCAAGTGCTACACATTCAAGATTCAAACACAACCCGGCTATGACGACTACAGTACCACACACTATCGGTTTAAAGGTGAGAAAAATGAATTCAAGAGAATGATCCTTGGAGTCCCACCAAAACAAAAACATTTTACCCGTTTGTTGAGGTTCTGCCGCTTCGCCAGGTCCAAGAGAAGCTTCATCGTCAATTGCGACACCTTTGCCAGTGGCAATAGGACCGGAATAGAGAAAAAATACGAACAGGAAGGGGGTCAAGAGTCTTCACCACCGAGCATACAGCAGACCCCATTGCTAATAGCAACCATTCCAGGGCTTCGCCACGTCAACAACAGCAGCAGCTGCAGCAACAAACAACTGCAGCCAGCAGCAGCAGCAGCAACAACAACAACAACAACAGCGACAGCTGCAGCAGCAGCCAGCAGCAGGAGCAGCAGCAACAACTACAAAAACAACAGCGACAGTTGTAGCAACAGCAACACAGCAACTGCAACAGGCTGCGGGCCTCGATACAATTAATAGCAAGAGCTGCCTGCAACAACAGTCGTAGCAAAGACAGCAAACACAGCAACAACGACAACGGGTTGCGGGCCTCGATACAGAAACGGGAGCAGCAGCAGCAGCAGCAGCAGCTGCAGCTGCAGCAACAACAAAACTATTCTGCTTCTCACGTTCATCCTGGAGTAGTCCAGAATAGTCCCTTCGAACTCCGCCGAAAGTGCAAGAGACCTGTCCTCGAGCTGCAAAAGACAAACGAAAAAAAGAAATGAAGAAACGCCAAACAATACTTGCCGCACTGAGACTAACGTCATTTCATTGGTCAGACGGGTAGCGCGGCCAATGCTAACGGTAGAGTCACACACAAACAAACATGCGGAGAGATGCACACACTTCGACGTGCAGACGGGGTGTGAAAATCAATCGATTCGTGTATCACCGTGCGAAACAAGGACTAGGGAAGGACGTTTATCGTGAATGCATACTTGAAAATTACACCACGCAGTGCACTCTCTCTCTGTCTGATTTTTTCTCTCTTGTCTCTGTCTGTCTGTCTGTCTGTCTGTCTGTCTGTCTGTCTGTCTGTCTGTCTGTCTGTCTGTCTGTCTCTGTCTCTCTCTCTCTCTCTCTCTCTCTCTCTCTCTCTCTCTCTCTCTCTCTCTCTCTCTCTCTCTCTCTCTCTCTCTCTCTCTCTCTCTCTCTCTCTCTCTCTCTCTCTCTCTCTCTCTCTCTCTCTCTCTCTCTCTCCCTCTCTCGGGCAGCAAGGTCACACGCACGCTTGCTAGTTGAACACAAGAAAAATACCAAATTATCCACCCCTGGCTGCTGTCTGTTGCTCTTGCTCCCAAAAACGAAAAGAAAAGACACGTTTATTCTCTCTCACCGCCATGACATCCTTCAGGTGCTTGTTCTTGATCCTCTTCTGGTGCACCTGTAAAAAAACACACGCACGCGGTAAAAAGAAAAGCGTGCAACGACCAACCAGGTGAGTGAGTGGTGGCCAGACTCCAACCAAGAAACGGTGAAACAAAAAAAAACGACGGCAATCACAATCACAATCACGACCACCAACAAGAACAACAACAACACCAACATCACCTACGACAAGCAACCAGGATGTCAACACCAAAAACACGGAAAAGAGGGAAAAAATAAAAACGCACCACGCATTGACTCGAAGCGAACGTCCAAAAACAATTGAGCCTTTCCGTCAACGATTGGTAATTTTTCAACAAGAACGAAACAATGAAATGAACTACACTGCTATTCTATCACAGACTCCGTATCCACGGATACTAATTAATTGTGTTAACAAGGAAGAAATATATACCTCAAACACAGAAATACTACCCATTTGAGATATACCCACAGTCATTACTGCGGTATCATCGCAAAAAAATCGTAACCGGAAGTACATGGGTGTATGCATACGTACCACCAAGCGGCGCCACTCGGCCGTCTCCGCAGCGCTCTTTGCGAGCCACGACACGTCCCCCAGGTTGTAGGGATCCCGGATGAGCTTCAGCAGCGTCTCCTCCGCCTGGTCCTCTTGGCCCTGTTGAAAAACCAATGTATTCAAATGACAGAAAATGTAGAAAATAGACACGAGAAATCGTATCTAATTGAGAGATAATATAAAAAATATACACGGAACACACCGAACAACGTATCTAATTAAGAGAAAATACGTAGAAAAAATACTTGGAGCATACAGAAAAGTTGGTACTCCAAAACAGCGGTAGGTATGTATGGGTTCCGCACTGCATCGTGCGTGTGATGGTTCGCTGCATCGTGCGTGTGACGGTTCGCTGCATCGTGCGTGTGACGGTTCGCTGCATCGTGCGTGTGATGGTTCACTTGTGTTGACATGTCCATCAAAAATGTAGATGACATCGGAACGGTGTTGCCTGCCCCCAAGAATCGACCGGACCAAGAAAAAGAAGAGAACGTATCATGCCAGCGCCCACGCCACCAACAGCAAGCGCAGCTGCTGCTAATAGAAGCCGACCCCACGAAGCCGGAATCAAACCATTCCACTAGCCAGCGGCCGACTAGTCTCATGGGTGGCTGACTAGACTCATGGCTTCATCCCGGCTTCTAAAATTGTACACGTCGCAGCAGCAGCAGCAGCAGCAGCAGCAGCAGCAACAGCAACAGCACCAGCAATACCACAACAAGATCGCTGAAAAAGTCTCATGGTTTGGTGCCGGCTTCTGCATGATGAGGCAGCACAAGCAAATCGCTGAAAAGCCTTCTCACGGTTTGAAACCGACATGCTACAATACTCCCAGCGCAACAAGACGAAGAAGAGCTCACCGCCATCGTCTGAAGCTTCGCGAGGGTCTTGATCGCCAAGTCGCTAGTCTTCGTCTTGAGCACCTCTTGAAGACCGCTCGTGTCCACCTTGAAGGGCACCCACGATGACCAAATCTGTTTTTTTTTTTAAGCGAACAATAGCAGGAGTCATTTTTTCAGTCAAACACGGAGAAAGTCTTGCTGTTTTCTTGCAGGAAGGGGCTGCTAGGGCAACATCCCCTCCTTATCGACAATCCTAGGAAGCTGTAGTCCCCAGATCGAAATTTCTTGCCTAGAACTATCTTTCAGATCCTTGCATTCAATACCTCACAACATTACTGGTCAGAGATCTTCAAATCCAAGACAGCAACAGCAGCAGCAGCAGCAGCAACGGCAGCATCAACAACAACAACAACAACAACAACCAAAAGCAGCTGCTTGGGTTTATCATAATCGCTTTCTAACAACCCTAGCCCTAGCAATCTTATCGTAGCCATCGGTGTGTCCGCGCAGAGGTATTTGAAGTCAACACTTCACCAACAGCAGCAGCAGCAGCAGCAGCAGCAGCAGCAGCAACAACAGCAACAACCCTCATGATCGCTCACTAACCCTGGCCCCAAACCCTAACCCTAACCCTAACCCTAGCCCTAACCTTATCGTAGTCATCGGTGTGTCCGCGCAGAGGTATTTGAAGTCAACACTTCACCAACAGCAGCAGCAGCAGCAGCAGCAGCAGCAGCAGCAGCAACAGCAACAACAGCAACAACCCTCATGATCGCTCACTAACCCTAGCCCTAACCCTAACCCTAGCCCTAACCCTAACCTTATCGTAGTCATCGGTGTGTCCCCGAAGGCCCGCCGTAAACTTCTTCCACTCCTTGTTCGTCCATCCCATCCTCCGGTCGTCGGGTCCCCCACCGCCACCGCCACTGCCACCACCACCACCGCCGCCGCCGCCGCCGCCTTCGGTGCCGCCCGTCGCCCATTCCCCCCACGATGACGACGACCCCCCCCACCCGAACAGACTGTTGCCGTCCCGCTGGTGGCCGAAACCCATCCCCAGCCCGAAGCTATCAATGCCGGAGGAGGAATCACCTTCCTCCTCCCCTGTCACGTCGTGAGGCCTGTCCAATGTTGAAACCTGGGGGGCGCGGGGGGGGGGGGGCGTACTCCTATGGTTGGCATGCCTTTGCTGTTCGACCGTTGACCATGCGTCCTCGAGAAGGAGGACGGAGCGTTGTTGTTCCCACAGGACTGATCGATCACCGATGGGCAATTGTTCTTTCATACAGTACTTTGGGAGGAGGTGGGCGGCAGAACGATGTTCTTCGAGGAGTACCCATGTTTGGCATGTCTTCGTTGCTAAGACCCTCGAGAGGGGGGACGGGGCATTGTTCCCGCTGGACCGATCGATCACCGATGGCCAACTGTTCCCTCTTGCACGTTGCCAAAGGTGAAAGGGGGGCGGGGGGCGGCTGGAAAGCAGTTCCTCTTCCGGTGTGACCCCGGTTGACAACGTAGGATGCACACGTAAGGTACCAGCTCGACTACTCCACGACCAAGAGGACGTACAAACCAAACGATGATGCGTCAACGGAAAACTCTCGACGAGACGGCAGTTCCAACGCCTCCATTTTCGACACCGCCACCCTCTCCCTCAAATAACCCAACTGTCCGATTGCATGCTCTACCCAACATGTTTACTTTGTACATGAAAAACCCTGCCAACACTACTGCCTCTCTCGCCCCCGCCTTCACCATGAGTGGTAAAAAAAAAAAAAATCAAAATTTTGCAGAGGGTGTGGTTCAAAGAAAAAAAAATAGTTGCTCTAGTGGGTGACAAACGGCCGCTCTATAGGTTTTAGTGTAGGGGGGGTTTTACTAGGTTTTAGAGTGGGAACTCTTTACTAGGCTCACAAGTCGTGCTACAACACTCTTAGGTTTTACTTAGAGTACTACAGCGATGCTCAACTGGGCTCACAAGTACTGCTTATACAGCTTTTAGAGTAGGGTACCTCAACTAGACTCACATGCGGTGCAATATAGGTTTTAGTGTAGGGGTATTTTACTAGGATTTAGAGTGGGGACTCTTTACTAGGCTCACAAGTCGTGCTATAATACTCTTAGGTTTTACTTAGAGTACTACAGCGATTCTCAACTGGGCTCACAAGTACTGCTTATACAGCTTTTAGAGTAGGGTACCTCAACTAGACTCACATGCGGTGCAATATAGGTTTTAGAGTAGGGAATCTCTGCTAGTCTCGCCATGGAGTTCAAGCTCTTAGATCTTGAGCTTTTCGAGGCTACTTCGTCTATCGATTTCTTTCTCAGCTGCTAAGTTCTTGAGGTCGGGCGCTCTCTGTAAAAGCTACGATATGCCGCATATGACACGAGATGTAACACACACCCTTGGACCGATTTTCAAAGCTCGATTACTCCACGACGAAGAGGATGCATAAATGAAGTAAAACATTTTCGGAAAGCTTTCTCTCGACGAGACGGCAGTTCCAACGCTGCCGTTTTCGGCGCTGTGACTCTCCCTGCTGTTGAGAAATCGAGCTTTGAAAAATCGGTCAGGGGGGGTGTTATCTTGTGTCATATACGGTAGTCAACGTCCTCGTCTTCGGCAGTGAGCAAATCTTCCTTTTCCCGATGCCCCCCGTCTTGCACAGCTACAGCATTACATGTATTGTCGTCTCCACAATACCCAGAATATGAAACAAGAAGCAAAACCCTGCCGCCGGTCACCCCACACAAGTTGTTCGCCAAAAAGGCAATAACAATGAAAAGAGAGGGGATGAGTTTGTCTCAAACTTGAAAAAATAATGAACCCATGCTGTCTGCCAAATAAAGAAACGCATGTGTGTGTTCGTCCCATCTCTTCTGGCGTCGGTTTACAGGCCTTTCGGCGTTTACAGTATACCTGAGGTGTCAGCCGGGGTCACACAAGAGGAAGGTCACACGGAGCATTTTTCATTTATTTGTTTTCGTTTCAATGCCCCGCCTTCCCCCCCGCGGTGCTTGCCTTGGTTGTTATCGCGAGAAGGGTTCAGCCATCCCTTTCCCTCGTCGACCGTGAAGAAGCCGAAATGCAGAAAACGGCAAAATACACACACTTGCCGTACATGACACAATATAACACACACGCCCTGGACCAATTTTCAAAGCCTGAATACGCCATGACGAAGAGGATCCACAAACGCCTCGTTGGGTGCTCGACGAGAAAAATATTTGTAGAAGGGTAGGAAGAGAAATGAAACAATACATTTTCGGTTAGCTCTCTCGACGAGAGAGCTTCAACGCCACCGTTTTCGGCGCTGTGGCTCTTTCTGTATGTTAAGAAATCGAGATTTGAAAATCGGTCCAGGGGATGTGTTATCTTGTGTCATTTACGGTAAACAAACGAGCAAGAAAAAAAAAAAATCAAGACCCGTGAAAAACTGAACACTAACCTGCCCCCTACTTGTACTCCGGCGCCGCCGTCCCGAACACTACAATAGCGAGTGACGAGAGCGGGGAAGGCACGGATCGCAACTGCCTACAAAAAGACGGGCCAAAGGAGGTCAAGTATTGTATTGTTGATCTACGAAGGAGGTATGTTTCCTCTGCGATTGAAGCCGACAGCGAACGACGAGCCATCAACGGCGTCGCGGGGAGCCCCGCAAGACAGGAAGAACGGGAGAGAGAGACACCCCCAGCTGACCGCACAAACAAAAATGATTTTATCTTTCCTCTCGTTGTAATAGACTTTCAACACGTGCATCATCCCCTTCGCCTATCTGTGGTACTATGTATCTCGAAAGGGTAGTCTTTTCTATCGATTGTATGATACGCATGCATATATATATATATCTTTTTTTTTAAAGCGGCACTCTTCCTTCTTGCCATTAAAAAAAAAAAAAATGAAAAGTAGACTAACCTGCCCTTCCTCAGGCGCCGCCCTCCCCGCCGCCGTCCGCCTCAACCCCCGCCCCCTCCCACCCTTCCCGCC